TGGTTGGAAGTAGAGATCCGTGCTATATGAAGATAGGAATAAAAGAAAAGTACCAAGCAAGATCAGTTAGACTTCAGAAAGATATTTTAAATTGCATTCTTCAGTATTATCCCAGGCTTTCCTTTCTTAGAGCTCTTTAAGGTGAGTAGGCTTTTGTCTGTGTAGTAAGGTACAGCCCTACTTGGCCTGGGTGGCCGTGGAATTAATTGAACATTGTCTTCTCTGGCATTAACCTAGTAGTAGTGATAGCTCAGGACTAGAAAAGGACAAAGGGCTCTGAAGCCTAGACTGACATAGAATGGAGACAAAAATGATATCTTCCCAGGTTCTGGAGCAGGGAGACTTTTTTAAAGTGAGTGGGAGGGAAGGAGGGCATTAGCCATAGGGCAGCCCAACAGTGTGCCAGAGTGACTGGATTGATTTTTGCAAGGTTTGCAAGTGCTGTTCTCCCGGAATGCTGCATGCTTGCCTCACAGCAGAGGGCACTGCTGTATTCTCTAAGCCAGCCACTGCAGCCTGCAGCCTCCACTCCTAGCTGGAGCGTGTCTGTCCAGAGGGAGGCTCCCTCTCTGACCTGCCTAAGCCCTTGAGCTCAGAGCTCAGAAGGGCCGGGGATAAAAAGGAAAGAAAAGCTTCTGCTACATTAGGTGGAAGTAGCTGAGGGAAAGATGCTGCTTCCCTGTCCCACTCCACACACTTCCCCCCACCAAGCAGGAACTTCTAGTTGCCTGAGCAGGAAACTGCTGGAAGCACCTCCACTTCCAAGTGTGACGAGGGGTCCCTGACTCACTGCCTAACCTAGTGGGTCATTTCCTGATAATTCTTCCCAAAAAGGTGGAAGCAAGTCACTACCTGGGAAGAGACTGGTGCACAAGTGTTCACATTTCAGTAATCTTAAATGGAAATTCTGAGTTGCAACACATAAAACTAGGGCTTAATCAGCTATCTACTTTGTGGAAAATTATATTTGCCTAAAAGGCAACATTTTCCCATATAGTTTCTTGTAATATCTTCCCATTGTATAGGTACCGCATCACTTAATTCATGTTATTTTCAGGAACAATAATAATAGTAGCTAACAACTTTTCAGTTGTTTACTGCATGCAAGACTTCATGAACTCATTTTATATATATAAACTCATTTTCACAACAATCCTGTGAGGCAAGTATTCACTATTATGCATGTTTTACCGATAAAGAAATTGAGGAACAGAGGGATTGAGTAACTTTTTTTTTAAAATTTATTTAATTAATTTATTTTTGGCTGCATTGGGTCTTTGTTGCTGCACACGGGTTCTCTCTAGTTGTAGCGAGCGGGGGGCTACTCTTCGTTGCGGTGTGCAGGCTTCTCATTGCGGTGGCTTCTCTTGTTGTGGAGCATGGGCTCTGGGCACGCAGGCTTCAGTAGTTGTGGCACGCGGGCTCTAGAGCATAGGCTCAGTAGTTTGGTGCACGGGCTTAGTTGCTCCGCGGCATGTGGGATCTTCCTGGACCAGGGCTCAAACCCGTGTCCCCTGCATTGGCAGGCGGATTCTTAACCACTGAACCACCAGGGAAGCCCAAGTAACTTGTTTAAAATCCCACAGTTAATTAATGGCAGAATTGGGATTTGAACCCAGGCCGAGATGGCTCCAGAGTCTGTACCGTTAATAGATTTTGCTGTTACCAAATTCTCATCAATGAACAATCTGTCTTTCTAAGTTGGCACTGTATCAGGTGTTACATGTGTAAGAGCCTCAGTTGTCGGTTCTTGAGAAGTCAGGGCCATAGGGTTGCTGGGGTTTGAGAAATGAGGCTAAGGGCAGACACTAAGACCCCAGCCCAGGAACCTCCACACGAGGCTATATAGGGGGTTAGCTCTGCTCTGGTGTCCTTGCACTGACTGGTATTCGTTCATCATGAAGTCAAGTAGTAAAGAATGGAAACCTTTCGGTCTGAATACTGCTTCCTGCTTGATTCTCAGCCCCAGGACCTGGCTGACCTCTGCTACAGAGAGGGAAGCATTTCCCTTTCCTTACCAGGCATATAAAGTGGGAGGTGTGGACAATTTTCTTTCCCCACTCAGTTCAGGCAAATGTTAGGGAAACACCAGTTCCTCTCTAGGGATGTCAATTCTAAGTACCACAGGCATTCAATAATATGACACAGTTCCTGCCCTCAAGAAACTGACAAGGTAGAAAATGATTCTTTTTGTTCCCATCCCTACAAGCACTCTGGCCCACTAGTATATTCAGCAAAAGGAAGAAGAACTAGCCTTAGCTCCAAAGCAGTAGGTCTGGTGGTAGGGGGTGGCTGAGTTCATAGAACAATGAACTCCTGCCTGCCTCCTGGGGTGATATCATTCCGTGTTCACTATGTGCCAGGCACTAAGCTAAACCCTTTAACTCAGCATATACTTGTTTAATCCTCACAATGGTTATATGAAGTGAATGCTGCTATTAATTTTACAGATGAAGAAACTGAAGCACAGAAAAATTAAGTGACATGCCCGAGATTACCCAGCATGTGTTGGAAATGGCATCTGAAACCAGGTAGTCTGTAAAGCTTGTTCTCTTAAATGTTTTTCACTAAACTGCTAACACCCTGGATTAGCTAAGGATAGCAAAAGGAATGAAAGCTCAACAGTGAGAGAGGGCTTGATAGAAGGCAGAAAACCAAGATTACAAATGAAAGTGGAGTTAGGTACAGAGTCTTTGGACCTTTGAGCCCCAATCAGTGGTTTGTAAGGCCTCCCAGGGCAGTTTGTGTCTTAATCATTTCTGCACCTGGCACAAAGCTGGACCCATAATCAATCTCAAAAGACATTATTGAATTGAATGATGGCTGAGTAACATCTTTGTAGAAAGTATTGGCTCATTTGTCATTACCCACAAGGTTCCCAATGACAATGCTGCTTATCTAGCAGGTGTTGGCAAGTCACAGAGGACATGGTTGGTGGGGAGACAGTGTGTTGGAGGATCTGTCAATATTAGTCTTGGAGTCATATGTATTTGCAGAGGCTTCCACAACCCTCCACTAGTCTTGGTTACCAATCCTCATTAAAGGCCCAGTGATGTCAAGCTCTCCACCACAGTGCCCAGACAGGAATATGCTCCAAGTATCTCATTTACTCTCAAAAAGAGGCTGGCCTTTTACAGGTGGAATTGGATATTGCTTTCAGCCCATTGGCTTGACCTTGTTCCTGCCTTCCTGGTCCATTTCGTGGGGAGAGCACTGAGTAGACCCACTGAGTAGGCACCCTGAGCAAATGCCTTTTCCAAAGTTAGCCTCCTACCCCAAACTTGATTTGCCTTGGTTGCTGAAGGAGTAAGCAGAAGTGACACCCCTTGAACACCCCACATCTTTGTTGATTCATAGCACCCTTTCCTAGCATCCCAACCACCTGAAATTGTTACCTTTTGCCTTGTAAATCCCATTTTGAAACTATTGCCAGAGTGAAGTGGAAAGTGGGGGCTGTCAGCTCCCCAGCCACAGGTTTTCTAATCTTACTGGAGGGAAGTACTTGGGAAAGGTACACAGAGGTAGAGTGGAACTGGGGGGAAACAGGCCCTGTACAAAAGCTGAGTAGCCAGATGTTCACTTTCACAGCTCTCCTGTAAGACTGGCAGGGCAGATATAGATTAAAATGAAGCACAAACTCCATTTAAAGTGCATTACAGCTCAGGAATCAGCTCCCCCTGGGCAGGAGAAGGGAGAAAAGGGCACAAGAGGCCACATCAGTCTCCTTCCTTATCTAGGACCACATGTCTCTCTCCTAGCTTTGTGAAGGGTGATTTACACCCTGGCTGGAATGACTATCTTTCTGGGCTGATTACATCGGCAAATGCCCTCCAGAGGCCACAGCAGGATGGCCATATTCAGAAGCAGCAGCCAATAAATCTCAGAGGTCTATATTGCATTTCTCAGTACCCTCCCTCCTGGCCCTCTGCCAGGTGGGCTGTGGAAGTAGGAGAGGGCTTGGCTGGAAGGTTAGGGGAGGAAACCCTCCAATTCCTTTCATTACCGTCTTCTCTAAGTACTGTTTAGTTCTCATTCTTCCAAGTCATTCTGCCTCTGTCTTTATCCTGGGAGCAGGTGGGAATCAGCTCAATAAATTAGTCTAATAAATACCCTTATCTTTATATGTAGAAGTCCTGGGTTATCCTAAGTATTTAATCTTCGTAGAGTAGCTTGGTCTCTTAACCATCATCTGAAAATGATGAGGCTCCTAAATGGTCTCTCTAGCCACCTTTCTCAGTGATCTTTTGTCCAGGGAGATCTCCACAATTCAGTCTGAGGGAAGTTTGATCCTTCCATCCTCCCTCATGACACTGAAGGGGCTGAATTTTGGAGGAGTCTAGTCTAGCAAAGGTCCTGGGATCTGGCCTCAGGTTTGTTCCCAGCAAAGCCATTTCACCTGTCTGGGATCCATCTTTGCAGAATCTTGGGGTTAATAACAACAACCGAATCTCACCCTTGAAGATATTTACGAGGCGAAATGAAATCACAGATGTGCAAATTCTAAAAGAAAAAATATACTTGAAACATAAGTGCCCTTGTGCGTTTGTTCAAGTTTTGTTATTTCATTAGGGTTGGTTGTTCCTTGGTGGTAGAGGGGGTTCCGGAAAGTGAGACAGGATGCTTTTTTTCTTAATAAATATCTGGACCCCAGAGATGGCGAGTTTCCATTGACAGTTTCCACACTGTCTTGGGTAGAAGTCCTCCTCTAAACGAAGTTGGCGGCCGACAGCATGTGGGCCGGCTGGGGTGGAGCACTCTTCAGAGCCAAAGACCGGCCGCTCCGGGGCGCGTGCCCTTGCTCGCCCTCACCCCAGCTCTGCCAGTCCAGGAGGAGAGTCGGCGTGGTGCGTCCGTCCACTTTGGAGTTGGAGGGCGGCGCCTGGGACCCTGGTGGGAGCGTGTTGGCGCCTCGCGCGCGAGGCGGGGCGGGAGGCGGTGGTGGGAGGTGCCGGCGGAGGAACCCCGCTTGCAGAGCTCCAGCTCGAGGGGAGAGGGCGCTCCGCGCCTGGTGCAGGCAGAGCGCCCTGGGACGCCGACAGTCGGCTAGCGCACCCCGCCAATGGCGCGCCCCCCGAGCCCACGACCAATGCTGCCTGCGCTCCTGCTGCTGCTGCCGCTGCTGCTCCGAGCGGGTGAGTGTCGTCTGTGCGTCCGCGGAGTCCACTCCGGCTGGGGCGGGAGGGGGCGGGGGCTGGGGTGGTGGTGAGTGGTGGTGGTGACCGTGTAGGTGGGGTCCCGGCACCAGTGCCCAGAGAGGTCTCAGGCCCCACACTGCTACCTGGTGCGGGGCGTCCGTCTGTCCGAGCCTGGGGAACTGGAGGAGGAAGCCCAGGGTGTCAGGAAGGGGCTGGGTTCCACACCTAGTCCAGTGACTTAACTTGTAGATTGAGTGCCAGCCATGACCAGGGCACCCAAGCATCTCTTCGCTCCTCGTTCCCCCTCTTCCCCCGTTTGAAGTGCGTCTGTACAGTCACAGAACAGCCAGCAGCTAGGCCACTACCACTACAGCATCTCTAGGGGGCGGGGAGAGTCAGAAGCAGGACTGCCTTTTGCTCCACATGGGCTTCACCTCTTCCACCCCATGTAAGGACTGCGGAAGTGGATACTAGGTACAGGTGAAGCTGGAGAAGTTTTTGTTAGGGCTGACTTGTCATTGGGAACTCCCTGGCCGTCCAGTGGTTAGCACTCTGCACTTTCATGGAAAAAACAAACACAACTGACGTCACAAATTAAGGTTGAAAACTGCTTCCCAGAACTTGCCAACATCATTATTTGGTTGTGTGGTTGAGAGTATTGCTCACCATCAACAAACCCCCTCTTCAGGATGTACTTTATTATTATTTAAATTGGAGGGGAAAACCCACTAGTGGGCAAGATGGTCTTTCTGTGCAAGCTGCCCAGCAACAGTGCCTTGCCCTGTTATAAATCCACAATAGGTGTTTTGTGGAATACATAGTTAAAGGCCAGGTTTTAGAACTATGCCATCCCCCCAAGGAGCATGCACGTGGCCTTTGGGAGTGGGATGGGTGCATGGAATCTCATTGTGGGGCTCCTGTCCAGAGCCTGCCTGGAGGGAATCGTGAGTCAGAGACCACATGTCTACACATGACCTCAGTCCACAAAGTAGGACTGCAGAAGTGCAATCTTGGCTGAGAGACAGATATGGAAGGAAGGAAGGAAAGTACTGGTCTGTCCAGACTGACTTCATTAGTAAATCAGAGCAGCAAGACTTTACTGATATGATTGGACTGCCCAGGAAATTTCACTAACCCTAACAGTATGGCTGTATGTCAGGATCAGGGGTAAACTTTAAATACCTTCTTCATGACCAATTTAGTGGAACAAGTTACCACCTGTTAATGATGAAACTTAACGTGACCCCCACCTTCTTTTGTTGAGCTGCAATGCCCTTAAATCTACTACTACTCAGACTTGGTGAACTGTCAGCTTAGAAATGAGAGAGGTTTACTTTTGAAAATTGTTACGACTCAATATTTAGTCCAGTTAAAGCAATGAGACTTGGACCTGCTACGTTTCTTTCAGCAAGCACTTTCTGGGTACCTACCAGAAGTAACATCTTAAACATTCAGCATTTCTCAAACTGTTTAAATCCATGTCCCCTTTTGATAAAGATAAAAATCTCATGTCTTCCTTAAATAAATTTTGAAATTTCAGAACTTTTTAAATGATACAAATGAACTTACAGAACAGAAACAGACTCATAGACTTAGAGAACGAACTTATGGTTAGCAGGTGGGAAGGGTTGGAGGGAGGAATAGTTAGGGAGTTTGGGATTGACATGTGCACACTGCTATATTTAAAATGGATAGCCAACAAGGACCTACTGTATAGCACAGGGAACTCTGCTCAATATTATTTAACAGCCTAAATAGGAAAAGAATTTGAAAAAGAAGATACATGTATATGTATAACCGAATCACTTTGCTGTACACCTGAAACTAACACATTGTTAATCAACTATACTCCAATATAAAATAAAAAGTTTAATAAAAAAACTAGTTGCATTAAAAAAAGTTTTTTTGTTCATCTTCCACATATGAAATGGTCAAATATGCTTTTTTTATGTGATTTTTTAAACATCTTTACTGGAGTATAATTGCTTTACAATGGTGTGTTAGTTTCTGCTTTGTGACATAGTGAATCAGTTATACCTATACATATGTTCCCATATCTCTTCCCTCTTGCATCTCCCTCCCTCCCACCCTCCCTATCCCACCCCTCTAGGTGGGCACAAAGCACCGAGCTGATCTCCCTGTGCTATGCAGCTGCTTCCCGCTAGCTATCTGTTTTACGTTTGGTAGTGTATATATGTCCATGCCACTCTCTCACTTTGTCCCAGCTTACCCTTCCCCCTCCCCGTATCCTCAAGTCCATTCTCTAGTAGGTCTGTAAATATGCTTTTTTGAACCACACATTCCCTTTGGAAATTCTGATACACCCCCCAAATGGGCCCATCCTCTCTCTTCCCCATCCCATGCATTGAGAAACTCTGGTTTAATCCAACCCCCTTTTTAAAAATCAAAATTAATACCAAAAATCCATTATGAACAAAATACCAAAATTTTAAATTAAAAGAGTAATAATGCCATGCTGAGGCATATTGGAACCTGAAGCAAAAGGAAAAATCAGTACTACTGATCCTGTCTTTTTTTACACATTGGATATGGCACCAACTCTCAAACTTTAGGTTACATCATTCTCTCCAGTAAACTTACTAAAATTCAGATTCCCAGGCTTTATCACCAGAGGTTCTGATTTGGTAGTTTGTGCTAGGGCTCAGAAATCTGCATTTTAATAAGTAATCTAACTGATTATTATGTGATTGGAAGAGAAGGTTGGACTACCTAAACTCAGAGGCCCCTCCTAATTTTGGGACTCTTTGATTATAAGTAGAGAGAAGGGGCCCAGAGAAGTTATCAGGGTGGCTCATAAAATGTCTCTGTTATGTGGTCATTTTTAAAATATTAGTAGGCACTTACAAAGAACAAGCCCTGTTCTAGGCACTGGCAACAGAGTAGTGATAAGATAGACATGGAAGTCTGGCTGGGGAGATAATAAAAAATGAAGTAAAAAAATATCAAGTGGTTGGGCTTCCCTGGTGGTGCAGTGGTTGAGAGTCTGCCTGCCGATGCAGGGGACGCGAGTTCGTGCCCCGGTCCGGGAGGATCCTGCGTGCCGCGGAGCGGCTGGGCCCGTGAGCCATGGCCGCTGGGCCTGCGCGTAGGGAGCCTGTGCTCCACAACGGGAGAGGCCACAGCTGTGAGGGGCCCGCGTACCGCAAAAAAAAAAAAAAAAAAAAAAAAAATCAAGTAGTGATAAGTACTATGCAGAGAATTGGAACAACAGTGTGTTAGAGTAGCTGGGGGGCTATTTTACATTGGTTGGTTGGGGATGGCCTTTGTGAGATGACACGCCATGTGAAGATCAGGTGGAAGAGCATTCAGAACAGAAAGAAGGCCAGTGCAGATGGAGGGAAGTGGGAGAGGAAGAGAGAGCAGGAGGTAAGATTAGAGAGGTGGGCAGGGACCAGGTCTTTACAAGGTTTTGTAAACCAAGGCACATAAACTAGATCTTAACCTAAGTTCAATGGAAGCTGTTGGAGGGATTTAAGCAGAGAAATGAGATCATCTGATTTACAGTTTTTAAGAGATGATCCCATATAATGCTAGTCAGTATTAGAATTATGTTATATTCACACAATGGATTGCTATACAGCAGTGAAAATAAGCTATTTACGACTATACTTATCAGTGTGGGTGAATTTCAGAAACGTAATATTGAGCAAAAGAAGCCAAAACACCAAAAGCACATGTTGTATGATTAAAAAACAGGCAAAACAAATTGCTAATGTTAGAAATCAGGATACTGTATTATATTTGCTTCGTTGGGAAGATGGTGACTGGCAGATGGCTTCTGGGGTGCTGGTAATGTTCTGGTTCTTTACCTGGGGATCTGGTTACACAGGTGTATATAATTTGAAATTAAACTATATATTTTTGATTTATGTATTTTTGTTATGTTATACTTTAATTAATTTATTACCAAACATGATATACAAATGGCTAACAAACACATGAAAATATGCTCAATATCATTAGTTATTAGAGAAATGCAAGTGAAAACCACAGTGAGATACTACCTCACACCCACAAGGATGGCTATAAAAACAGAGCAAAAAACAAAACACAAGTTGGCAAGTATGTAGAGAAATTGGAACCACCCTCATGCATTGCTAATAGGAATGTAAAATGGGACAGCCACTGTGGAAAACAATTTGGTGGTTCATCAAAAAGTTAAACATAGAATTAACATATGACCCAGCAATTCCACTCCTGCGTATACACCCAAGAGAAATTAATACAGGTATTCAAGCAAATACTTGTACATGATTCTTCACTTAGCACTGTTCACAATAACCAAAAGGTGGAAACAACCCAAATGTACATCAACTAACATTTAGGTAAACAAAATATGGTATATCCATACAATGAAATATTATTCATAAGAAAGAATGAAATATTGATATATGCCACAATGTGGATGAACCTTGAAAACAGCATGTTAGGTGAAAGAAGCTAGATACAAAAGAGTATATATTTTATGGCTCTATTTACATGAAATACTAGAATAGGTAAATGTGTAGAGACAGAAAGCAGACTAGTGGTTGCCAGAGACTAGGGGAAAGGGAGGATGGAGAGTGACTGTTTAATGGGTATGGGCTTCCTATTAGGGTGATGAAAATGAATTGGAATTAGAAGTGATGGTCGTATAGCATGGTGAATGTACTAAATGCCACTTAACTGTACCCTTTAAGATAATTAATTTTATGTTGCATGAATTTTTTTCTTTCTCTTTTTCTTTTTAAAATGAAGTTTGTACAAAAAGAAACGAAATTGAGTTATTTGTTGTGAGGTGGATGGACCTAGAGTCTGTCATACAGAGTGAAGTAAGTCAGAAAGAGAAAAACAAATACCATATGCTAACACATATATATGGAATCTAAGGAAAAAAAAAAAGAAAGGTCATGAAGAACCTAGGGGTAAGACGGGAATAAAGACACAGACCTACTAGAGAATGGACTTGAGGATATGGGGAGGGGGAAGGGTAAGCTGTGACAAAGTGAGAGAGTAGCATGAACATATATACACTACCAAACGTAAAATAGATAGCTAGTGGGAAGCAGCCGCATGGCACAGGGAGATCAGCTCGGTGCTTTGTGACCACCTAGAGGGATGGGATAGGGAGGGTGGGAGGGAGGGAGATGCAAGAGGGAAGAGATATGGGAACATATGTATATGTATAACTGATTCACTTTGTTATAAAGCAAAAACTAACACACCATTGTAAAGCAATTATACTCTAATAAAGATGTTTAAAAAAATAATAAAAAAAAATAAAGTTTGTACCTTTTGACTACCTTCATCCAGTTCTCCCTCCCCACCCTCTGCCTCTGGTAACTGCAAATCTGATTTCTTTTCCTATGAGTTTGTTTTTGAAGTATAATTGACCTACAGTACTATGTTCCTGGTGTACAACATAGTGATTTGCTATTTCTATACATTTCAGAATGATCACCAGGCATGAATTTTACCCCAATAAAAATGTTTTCCAACCTAAAAAAATTCTTAAAAAAGATGAATGCAACAACAAAAAGAAAGGTAATTATGTGAAGTGAAGGATGTGTTAATTTTAACACGTCTTATTGTTAACACGTCTAATCTTACTATGGTAACATTTTACAATATATACATAAATCATCATGTTGTATACCTAAAGCTTAAACAATGTTGTATGTCAATTATATCTCCATAAAGCTGGAAAACAAAAAACGATGGCTGAATGGTATGGTAGAATGAATTTGGAAGGTGGAATCACTGAGACCAATAAGGACTCTCAACTAGTTCAGACAAGAGTTGATGGTGGCTTGAGCTAAGGAGGTGGTGATAGCTGTGGAGAGAAGTGGACAGATTCCAGATATGTAGTGGAGTTGACAGGACTTACTGGATTGAACATAGAATGTGAAGGAAAGAGAAGAATTCAGAATTCAGAATGACTCCTAGATGTTCTGCCTTGATGTTCTGGGGGATGATGGTGTGCTATTACCACTTGATAAGTCCTAGGGTGCAGGGCCTTTCTCCAGAGCTGAACTATAACCAATCTTGATATTCCTGAGTGAGTGACAGAATCTGTAAAAGCCCCCCACCCCAACCCCAACCAGTTCCCATTGTAAGGTATTTTTAAGTGATTTTTATTTTTTTGCCGCACTGCGCGGCTTGTAGTATTTTCATTCCCTGACCACGGATCGAACCTGGGCCCTGGCAGTGAAAGTGCCGACTCCTAACCACTGGACCGCCAGGGAGTTCCCCTTAAGTGACTTTTTTTTTTTTTTTTTTTTTGTGATATGCGGGCCTCTCACTGTTGTGGCCTCTCCCGTGGCGGAGCACACGCTCCGGATGCGCGGGCTCAGCGGCCATGGCTCACGGGCCCAGCCGCTCCACAGCATGCGGGATCTTCCCGGACCGGGGCACGAACCCGTGTCCCCTGAATCGGCAGGCGGACTCTCAACCACTGTGCCACCAGGGAAGCCCCCCTTAAGTGACTTTTAATGGAAGACTCAGAGTTGTTGCTAACTGTCATTTAGCACTCCCATGCACATTCTCAGCTCTCTGGTTATGATGCTATCCCTGTCCATGGCATAGCTCTGCTCAGGGCCCTCTTCCCAGTGCCTGGCTGGGCCATCAGGCTCAGCTTCAAATAATGTCCCCCACCTCCCAGGAGGCTGAGCAGCTTGTCTTCATCAAACCCCCCTCTCTTCTTGAGCCTGATCTCTTCTGTCCATATTGTGACAGCTGCAGACCCTCTACTCCTACTGGACTTCTTTCTCCCCGCTAAAGGCCTTTGTGCCGCCCCAAGACTTTCCTGCTAAAGATTTCATCCAGAATCCCCCCCAACCTACCTTATGACTAGGTTCTCCCAGACAGCTACTCTGACCTTATATGAGCCTCACTTGGTCTCTCTCCCTCCATAGGGGACCACCTCCCCACAGAAGGCCGGCTCATGAACAGCTGTATCCAGGCCAGGAGGAAGTGCCAGGCCGATCCCACTTGCAATGCTACCTACCACTACTTGAATTCCTGTGCCTCTAGTATAAGCACCTCATCACCTGCAGAGGAGCCTTCAGTCCCTGAGGACTGCATGGAGGCAGCACAGCAACTCAGGAATAGTTCTCTGATGAGCTGCACATGCCATCGGCGCATGAAGAACCAAGCTACCTGCCTGGACATCTACTGGACCGTTCACCCTGCCCGTAGCATTGGTGAGGCCCCCATCCTAGAGCGGGCTAAGCTAGGGAAGATGGCTCTTGGGAGTTGTTTTTTAATCCTGCTGGATATGGGCCGCATGGTAGATTCTGACAGGGATGATAATGAAGCTCTGCATTTGACGTCACTAAGAAATGGAAGGAGGAATTGGCAGTATGCTTTTGGGCCCCACAGTACTGCCCTCCCTTCTCACTACTTCCCAGTTTTTTTTAAATCTGGAAACATGTAGCTGCCTCTTGGAAGGTCTCTGAACCAGGCTAAGGCCCAACATGGGGAGCTCCTGGAACAGACAGATATAGAGAGGAAATGGAGGGAAATAGTCTTAACTCATAAACAGGCTGCAAATACAACATAATCCATAGGTTCAGAGAGACTGGGAGGCAGTGTCCTGGTCCAGCCTTTAACAGAGAGGATATTCATTAACCAGACAAGAGATGATAAAAGACGGAAGGCACTGGAAGAGCCAAAGAGAGGAGCTTACTCTGACTCTGGAGATCCCCTTCCGTATCAGTCAGCTTTTACTAGACTGTGCTGCCGTAACACAACAGGGTCTTGTAAAACAAAGGTTAAGTTCTTGCTCATGTTCTGTCTTGGCTGTGTCATGTGTCCTCTTCATTCTGGGATCCAGTACAGCCTCTACCTGAGATGTTCCCTTCTCATGGCAGAGGGAAATGAACAATGGCAGAACCATTTGATGCCTTTAAAAGCTTCTGCTCAGATGTTACATAAAATACTTCTGCTCACATTCCATTGACAAAGCAAATCACGTGGTCATACCTGACATCAGTGGGAAGGGGAGGTATACTCCTCCCACAGGGGACACTGAAAATCACATGGCAATAACTGAGGATGTATAGTCTTACAGGGAGGACAAAAATAGTTGTAAACAATAATGCAATCTACCATAGTCCACCAGTTGGTCAAAACTTATTCATTTCCCTCCCTTTCACAAGCAAAATATACCTACTCACTTTCTAAGGAAGGTGCCTAAGAATTCTATCTAAGCAGGACATCAGGCTCCAAGTCTAGGATTTTGTGATAATTTCTATATCAGGTCTGGATGTGGTTTCTCTTAATCTAGAAACCTATGCACTAAAAAGTCATCTGCTGGGCTTCCCTGGTGGCGCAGTGGTTAAGAATCCACCTGCCAATGCAGGGGACGGGGTTTGATCCCTGGTCTGGGAAGATCCCACATGCCACAGAGCAACTAAGCCCATGCGCCACAACTACTGAACCTGCACTCTAGAGCCCGCGTGCCACACTACTGAAGCCCGTGCGCCTAGAGCCCATGCTCTGCAACAAGAGAAGCCACGACAATGAGAAGCCCGTGCACCGCAATGATGAGTAGCCCCCGCTCGTTGCAACTAGAGAAAGCCCGCACACAGCAATGAAGACCCAACACAGCCAAAAATACAGATAAATAAATAAATTTTTAAAAAAAGTCATCTTCTTCCCATCTATACTCAATATATAGTAATGGAATGGGGACAGGAGAAGCACAACAAACTCTCAGGTAGAAAGAGGAGTAATGGGAAGCACACAGCAGACATTGATTCATAGCAGTTCTGAAGTCCTGCCACACAATTGTTGCAAAGGCTGTCTTCCCTGGGAGTAGGGATTGCTCTTTAATAAGGCCCTGCTTTTGCTCATTGGGGAGCAAAAGCCCAGGAGTTTCCCAGCCCCCTGGGAGGTCCTTCGTTTCCCATTATTTTCTTGGGCTACATCTGGAAAGGGCATTGGAGACTGTGACCTCCTTAGGGATTGAGTAGCATTCTCCACTTGCTTCCTACCTGAGGAACGTTGGAGCATCTTAAGTCTCAAATAGTCTCTTTTAATCCAGGCTGGTGGCTCTTAGCAGTACAACTCTCTCAAAACATAATTGCGTTTTATGTCTGATTTCTGTCACCTCATGTGCCAGTAGCCTTTCCTATAATCCCTTTCAAGACATACATCTCTTTTGAGACCTAATTAGAGGTACCTTGCCCTTATCAAGCTTCTGTGGGAGAGCCACTATCTTAGTCTTTTTTCCCTGAGAACATTTGTCCAACAGGCAGGATTTATCGGATACTGTCTTAATCAGTGAGAGATCTCCACAAAGGGCATGATAGCCACAAACTTGAATTGGTCTCTGGCCCAAGGCTGAGTTGTAATTGACCTTATTACTCAATGCATTTTTCAATTTTACCTTTTACTATTTGAATATGAGGAGTAGCATTTCTTAATTTTGCAGGTCCTAGAATTTCTGTATTCATTCTTTTCTGTTTCCTCTCTGTGTGTAAACTGGTCAGTTCTCTGAGCTTATATCTTTCTCGTAGTACCATGCCAAGTGTGGCTATCAGCAATCAAGACATATTAGTAATCTTCAGCTTCTCAGCTTCTTCCCCTTAAAGCACAAGCTCACTCAGTACATCATCTTCCTTCCAAGTTATTGCAGGCAACAATTTTACCAAATGCTTTGCCACTGCATAATGAGGGCTGCCATCTTCCCAGCCCCCAGTAACAGCTTATTCACCACCCACTACCTAGTCGCAAAGCCAATACCATTTATTTTAGATCCTTTTTTGTTACTTCAGCACTCCATTTCTAGATACCAATTACATTTTTTAACATCTTTATTGGAGTATAATTGCTTTACAATGTTATGTTAGTTTCTGCTGTATAACAAAGTGAATCATCTATATGTATACATATATCCCCATATCCCCTCCCTCTTGCATCTCCCTCCCACCCTCCCTGTCCCAACCCTCTAGGTGGTCACAAAGCACCGAGCTGATCTCCCTGTGCTATGCAGCTGCTTCCCACTAGCTATCTATTTTACATTTGGTAATGTATATATGTCAATGCTACTCTCTCACTGCATCACAGATTACCCTTCCTCCTCCCTGTGTCCTCAAGTCCACTCTCTATGTCTGCGTCTTTATTCCTGTTCTGCTCCTAGGTGCATCAGAACCATTTTATTTTTTTAGATTCCATTATATGACCAATTACATTTTTAATAAGAATTTGCTAAATTATGCAACCAACGCCAAATCTCTGGCTTTCACCAACAAAAATATATCTTTTGTTCATGTTACACATCTGCTGTGGGCTTCCATGAGTTGGCTTTGGAGGACAATTTTGTTATTTATTTATTTATCTATTCTTGGCTGCATTGGGTCTTCGTTGCAGTGCGCGGGCTTCTCATTGTGCTGGCTTCTCTTGTTGCGGAGCACGGGCTCTAGGCATGCAGGCTTCAGTGGTTGTGGCTCGCGGGCTCTAGAGCGCAGGCTCAGTAGTTGCGGCGCACGGACTCAGTTGCTCCATGGCACATGGGACCTTCCCAGACCAGGGATCGAACCCGTGTCCCCTGCATTGGCAGGAGGATTCTTAACCACTGCGCCACCAGGGAAGTCCCATGAGTTGGCTTTGTCTTTGCTCCACTTGCCTTCTTCATTTGAGGATCCAGGATGGTAGATGGAAAAGAGCCAGGCAGGACCACATGATAGTTCTTGAAACTTAGAGGTGATTATGCCTCTTTAGCTCACAATCCACAAGCCAAAGCAAGTCACATGGCCAAGCCTTACAGTAGCGTGGGAAAGTACAGTCCTCTCATAGGTGGCCTGAAAGTCACAAGGCAACAGGTGAAGTTGTATAATCCTCCGACAGCAAGCAATTGGAAACAAACTCTCTTTGTTCCCTGATTTCCACTCCTCATCCTAATCACTTCTCTTTTAGAACTTCCACTGAGACTTCTCCCTGAATCCTCTTGTCTCCACCTCTTTTCCCTTGGGAGCTCCCAGGTCTTCCCAAGCATCCAAACCATCCTTTCCTGTTTGCTTGATATCATCTATATCCCTTCCCGCCTAAAGACATATTCACAAAGGCCTATTGGGTGACATCCCTGCAAGCTCACCTCTGTCTTCAACATTTATTGAGCACCTACCATGTGTATGAGCTATGCAGTGATCTTGTTTTTTTAACTGAAGTACAGTTGGTTAACAATGTTGTGTATGCAGTGATTTTATAAGACCTAGTGATTTTATAAGGTCTTAAGGAGCCCACAGCCCCATGGGGTGTTTGAAAGAGATGTGTTTCCTTTCAGATCATTTCTCTCCCTTCTCTGCTTTTCTCAGTCAGGTTCAGTTCCAGATCTAGTCTCATTTGCATCACCTCAGCATGCAATGCATCTCCATAGCCAAGTGGTCAGGCCTGGAACAGAGTCCACTACTGCCCCTTCTCCAATAGCAAGAGAAAACAAGACAGAGTCCCCTTGCCTGCTTATGTGCCCACAGGTGATACTTGTAGTAGTTAGGAGCAGAGACTCTGAAATCAGGTAATCCAGGTTTCAAATCCCGGCTCCATTTACTAGCTAATGTGAACTTGAGCAAGTGAATTAACCTCTCTTATCCTCAGTTTCCTTTTACCTACCCAAAGACTTCTATGAAGACTAAGTGAAATTGTATGTATATATATATATATATATATTTTTTCCACTTGCACCATAGTGCCCAGTAAACAGTGTGCTCAACAAACAGTAGCTTTATTATTCTTATCATTAAACCCAGTTTATTTGTCAAGCCTAGCCTATACCTTTATGGCCCTGTTCTTTTTCTCTCCTCTGCCCAGTATGCAGCTATTTAAGTAGAGACTGTGCCTCTTCTTTTTCTCCAGCAGCCTCAACCCCTCCTGCTCCCACCCCCAGCCCCATCCTCAGGATTCTGGTGCTCCCCACCTTGTCTCTAGGTGACTATGAGCTGGATGTCTCTCCCTATGAAGACACAGTGACCAGAAAACCCTGGAAAATGAATTTCAGCAAACTGAACATGCTCAAACCAGGTGTGGAAGGCAAGCTGGGGCTGGGGTATGGGAGGGCCTGGACCCTGAGGGAAGGGTGGCTGGTGGGGAACACAAGCTGGGAGAATGAAGGGAGAGAGTTGTGGCCTGCCAGGTAACTAAAGAAGCACTCTCAGGGTGAGAGTCTGAGCTATGCCGCATGATCTAGTCTCACGAGTCAACACAGAGCAATAGTTACTAGGGAGATATTCCAAGAGAGCCCATTAGAGCTCCCCGGTTCCAAAAGGTGGATCTCTACAAAGGCTTTGGTGGGAGTGGCAGCAGTTCCAGAAAAAAAAGTGCTGAAATGGAGTATTTACCCTAATTCGAGGCAGCCAGGAAAGTAGCTTTTTGTCCCTGAAGACTAGGAAATTGCTTGTTTTCAACCATTCTAATGGGATGGGCGAGGTGTTGGGCAGGGAAAATGGTGAGAGAGAGAGTGACTCCTCAGGGGTGACTCAGGGTGGGGAGCCATCTGTCTGGCAAGGACTAATATGATGCATGTTTTTCAGGAAAGTGAGGCTGTTGTATTAATTGGAAAGGAACACACACATGCACTCTCTTTTTGAGAAAGATGTGAGCTTTGTTGTACAGTCAGTACTGTGTATTAGAATTTTGAGAGAAAAGCATAGAGATTTATGTATTACAAGCTCTAGGTTGCAGGGAATCTGGGAATAACCTATTCCAGTTATTCCATTGTTCTGACTGCTGGAATATTCTGTTAATAGAACTATCACCATAATTTCCCAAGACTCAGAGTATGGGGGGTTTTATGCATGCATCAATCAATGAAAGATGGGCAGAATAGACAGATGCAGAACCAAAATCCTAAATAGAATTTGGTTGCATCTGCTGTGGACAATCCAGAAAGTACTTTTCTGCACCAGGAGGATTGCAGGATCCTAGTTCCCCTACCAGGGATGCAACCCCTCAGAAGTGAAAGTGGGGCGCCCTAACCACTGGACTGACAGGGGATTCCCCAGAAAGTACTTTAGAATGTTGTAGGGCCTCTTGGTTACAGTTTCCACCATGGGATCTCACTCATTGCATAGGATTGAGGAAAGGGTTTGGTTAGATGTATATGGCTTTTTTTTTTTTTTTTTTAAACCTAGGCAAGCTGAGGAGCAGGATGGGAGAGGCTCACGAATACCTGATACTGTTTGTGGGTAGAGGGAAAGGCCTTATTCGGTGCAGTCCTCCCTGACAGGAGTGCCTTCCCACTACCGTCCTTGTGAAATCAGAGGGTTGCCGGGATTCCTGGGGAGGCTGGGCTGCACATCTGCAGAGAGGACTGCTGACTTGGTGCCCCTCTCCCCCCAGACTCGGACCTCTGCCTCAAGTTCGCCATGCTGTGCACTCTTAATGACAAGTGTGACCGGCTGCGCAAGGCGTACGGGGAGGCGTGCTCCGGGTCCCGCTGCCAGCGCCACACTTGCCAAAGGCAGCTGCGCTCCTTCTTCGAGAAGGCGTCGGAGCCCCACGCTCAGGGCCTGCTGCTGTGCCCGTGCGCGCCCACCGACCAGGGTTGCGGGCAGCGCCGGCGCAACACCATCGCCCCCAGCTGCTCACTGCCATCGGAGGCCCCCAACTGCCTGGAGCTGTGGCACATATGCCTGTCCGACCCGCTGTGCAGGTGCCGGGTGCTGGGTGTGGGCAGACGGGGTGGACACGACTCCTTCGGCGCCTCCTTCCTGGGCAGGGCTGGGTCTGAACCACCCTCCCCCCCCCACCCCCCCCACCCCTCCGCAAGGCACCGTGAACCGACTTTACCATGTAGCTACCCTGGATACTTTCTGAAACTCTTTTATAAAAAAATAAAATATAATAAAATAAAATTATATAGAGAGAGTGTAAAAACTTTAGGAAATATAAAACTGTGTTAAAATATCACTCAAAACCTGTCACCTGGAGGTAATCTACCATAATTTGGGGAGCATTTCCTTCCAGTCTTTTTTCTCTCCAGGTAAACAAAATCAGACACCAACCTTGTTTTGCAACCTGGTTCTACCACTTGCTTCTCTGTATAACCTTGTTGTACAAGTTACTTTACCTCTCTGAGTCCCACTTCCTCTTCTGTAAGATATTACATGGAGCTCTCAAAAATCATAATACTAACACTTACTGAGTACTTACTTACTATGGGCTAAGTACTATTTTAAGTACTTAACATCTATTAATTTATCTAAGCTTCACAAGAACCCTATAAGATAGTTGCTATTATTACTATTTTTTTTTTATCATCCTCAGTTTACAAATGAAGAAACCACAGCAGAGAAAGTTTAAATAACTTGCTCAAATTCACCTAGGTAGTAAGTCAGGTTTGTTAATGAGGTTTGGATTTCCTTCATAGGTAGTCTGGCCTAGAGCCTGTGCTCCTAGAGGCTCTGTTATGCTGCCTGTTATTATGCTGGGAGCTATGGGTTGGCCAAAAAGTTTGTTTGGGTTTTTAATGGAAAAACCCGAACGAACTTTTTGGCCAACCCAATATACTATTACTGTTACATAACAAGTGCTGGGCTAGATGACTAAGATACTGTCCCTTCCTTCAAGGAGTTTGCAACTGCATGGGGATGACAGATAAGTAAACCACCAATCTAACACAAAGCAAAATGTAAGGAAAAGTGCACAAATATACACACAAAAATATACTCATCATTCCATCCCCTGAAGATAACCAGCTTTACTTATTGTAGGATGAGTGTTAAAAATAATAATATCTAACATTTACTGAACACTCACTGTATACCAGGCACTGTGTTAAATGCTATACGTGTATTCTCTTACTTCATCCTCACAAAAATCCTCAAGGTAGTGTTATTTTCATCTCTATTTACTGTCAAGGAAATTGAAACTAAAGAAACTGCCTGAGATCTCATAATTAGGGATTGTGGATCCCAAATTCAGAGTGATTTGCTGTGGAGGCTGGGGTGATGGTGCATTTAATTGTGACAGGAGCAGGCTTCACTGAGGAGGACGCCATGGGCCAGGCTCTGAAAAAGGCAGAGGCGGATTTGGCATGAAGATGGGCATCTTAACTAAAGGGGCAGCAAGGTGACACTGTGGCAAGGTGAAGGCTGCAGGCCAGACCATCAACAGGGACTCTTAAAATTTCCCTTCTTCCAGATCGCGCCTGGTGGATTTTCAGACCCACTGCCATCCCATGGACATCCTAGGGACCTGTGCAACAGAGCAGTCCAAATGTCTGCGAGCATACATGGGGCTGATTGGTGAGGCTGGGGGGCATGTTTAGGAAGCCTACAGGTTGGCCAGCCTGGGGGGGTGAAAATGCTCTGGAGACTGAACCCCCATGGAGTGGTCCTGAGACAGGTGGGAGAGGATGGGAGCTGAAGGTAGGGTTGGCTTAGGCACTGACAATCCTCTTTTCACCCCATAGGGACTGCCATGACTCCCAACTTTGTCAGCAACGTCAATGCCAGTGTTGCCTTAAGCTGCACCTGCCGAGGCAGTGGCAATCTGCAGGAGGAGTGTGAGCGGCTGGAAGAGTCCTTCTCCCGAAACCCCTGCCTCAGTGAGTGCTCTCCACCTGCTCCCAGCCCCCGTGGCTGACTCAGCTTGACCCAGGGAGAGGGAAAGGGTCCGCTCTGTGGTCCACTGGTTCCATCCATCTCCTGCAGACGGAGCAGCCCCCTCCTCAGCATAGGCTTACATCTCCCCAACCTGAGCCTTTCTGCCTTCTCCCATTCTATTAGTGACCCACCCCCATCCCCGGCCATGCTGCCTCTTCACTTGCCTGGGCCCTAGGGACACTCTTCAGCTCAAGGAATAGCAAGCAGAATGAGATAATATCCCATTCCCAGCTGCCACCCACCCACCCTTGCATATCCCAGGGTCCCTGAGACATTCCCTTTCCTTCTTTGGGAGCCTGAGAGATCTCCAACATCTGCCTGCTTTCAGTCTTCCTTCTCTCCTCTCCTCAGTGGAGGCCATTGCAGCTAAGATGCGTTTTCACAGCCAACTCTTCTCCCAGGACTGGACAGCCTCTACCTTTTCCATGATGGAACGCCAGGTAGGGCCTCCTCTGTTACACCCCTCCTACCTTTACTGGACCAGCTGGGGGAAACCCAGACAAGGCAGGCAAGAGATTGGATGGGGGCGGTAAACTCCTTGTGGTCATGAATACTTTAGACCTCTAGCAGACCTCCACCTCAGGGGAGGAGGACAGGCCTTGACTGAGGCTAACGTGGTGAAAAGGGTGGAGCTGACTCCATTTTATTTTTTCCACAGGACAAAAACCCTGCTCTGAGGCCACAGCCCTGGGTGCCCTCTCTTTTCTCCTGTACACTTACCTTGATTCTGCTCCTGAGCCTCTGGTAGCTGGACTTCCCTGGGGGCCCTCTTCTCCTTTACCACACCCAGCTGACCTGCAGCCTGCAAGGGTTGAGGAAAGGACAGCATCAGGAAGGAGGTTTGGTATACAACATGGCAACCCTGACGTTACCCCACACCTCCAGTTGACTCCAGATTAGGCCACAGTAGAAGCTGACTAGCCTAGTTCTCATTCCCTTCACTTCTTTTTTTGTTTTGTGTTGTTGTTGTTGTTGTTGTTTTTGCCCGTGCTGCTTGGCTTTTGGGATCTTAGTTCCCCGACCAGGGATTTAACTGGTCCCTTGGCAGTGAAAGCTCAGAGTCCTAACCACTGGACCGCCAGGGTCATTCCCTTCACTTCTGACTCAGGCTGCCCCTCCTTAGGACTTTAGCCATATCTTCTGGTGATGTCCAGCTCTACCAGGCTCTCTTCTTACCCCTTTCTTCTGCCCACCAGCATCACCCAGGCTCTAACAAATCAGTCACGCTCTCTTGCATTCTCCAGATAGGCAGGGCTGGGTGTTCTGAAGCAACCTAGAAAGACATTCCTCATGGTGAGGAAAGCTGGAGCAAGACTCTTGGCCCCTTGTCTCCTCCTCTGAAGGGGGAATGGGAACCTACTGCCTTCCCAGGGATCCTACAGAACATTTGAGCATCACGAGCTGGAGCATATGGGCCTTGCTTTCTTCCTGCTACTGTCCCAAAGTCCCCTTAGCCTCTTGGATCATGATTAAACATTTTAACTTAAAACTTTTCTCTTTTCCCATTGTCTCATACTGTGAATTTATATAGAACTAGGGGTGTTACAGTCACAAGAGCACAGGCCAGGTGATCTAGGAGACACAGCAACCCTGCCACCAGATGCTATGTGACCCCCCAGGCAAGTCTCTCAGCCTCTCTGTGTACTTGACATGGAGTTGGAAGAAAAATAACTTATGTGAGGCTGTGGACTGGGTACCTGTTCCAGCTCCAGCCATTTTGGGCATGCTGCCTGGGATCTGCCACAGCAGCTGAAGGGGGAGGGTCCATAGTCAACCACAGCATTCAAGCACCTGCTTGTGTTATCGGTCTGCTCCATACCATAATGGGGGCCGGAGGAAAGGAGAGACTGGTTCTTGAACTCATGTGCAATCCAGTTGGGATAAGGAAACAGCTACCCATGCAAAGTAGTTGGGAAAATATATTTATAGAGCTGTGGAAATTTGTTAATTCATTCACTCACTCTTTCCAAAAGCATGTGATGAGTGCTGGCTCTCCAAGACACTGTGCTGGGTGTGGGAGATTCCAAGGTAATCCTATTTGCAGATCCTATTTTCAAGCCTTTTACACATCAGAGCAGGGGAACTGACAAGGCAGTCAATAAGAACAGTGCAGTGTGATGAGTACTGTACAATAATTGTAATAATAACCCTCATTTACTGAGCCCCTACTGTGTGCCAAGTACTACTGTGCCCCTACTGTGTGCAAATACATTCATAATTCATTTAATTCTTCACTAGCTACGTGACCTTGGCCTTAACCTCTTTGGGGCTCACTATCTACATCTGTAACATGAAAAGGTGAAACACCTACCTCACAAGGAATGAGATAATCCATGTGAAAGCATTGTGCCTGATAAATAGAACTCAAAAAAGTTAGCAGTTACAGCATATGGTTTTTGTAGAGAATTTGGACAATACAGATAGTTATAAAGAAGAAAATTTAAATCTTTAAAATCCCATTCTCAAACTTCCAAACTACTCCCTGTACATCTGTGCACGTGAGAAACTATGGGTATGTATAATTTTATATATGTGAGGTCAGAGACTGCTTATCAAAGTGTAAGTCACAGACACTTTTCAACATCCATGAGTAGAGCTCAGAATACATCGTCCTTTTTATCAGCTGCATAACATGGACTTGTATGAATGCATATTCCTACATACATAGTTTATTTAACTAGTTCTGAATTGATGGGTATTTGGTTATCTTCCTATTTTTCTCTGAGCCAAGTTTTAAGGCAGTGAGGAGGTGACTGGGGGTAGGATGTGCCGAAGAGCTGCCCGAGTGGTGGGTGGAGTAGGGAAAGCACCCCCTAAACATTCTTGTATCCACATACCCCACCCTGCCGAGGAAGTGCCCAGCCATCCTGCTGTCCTGCAAACTTCAGTGCGGCACTGGGTGGACCTTCCCCTTCCTCCCCTCCCAGGAAGATCTCTGAACCGTCAAGGCCTCTCCATTTGCTTTGGCTCCATTATCATGGGGCTGGGGGAGGTGAATGGTACAGTCATTCCTTGCTAAGTGCTTGAATTAGACTAATAGGTCATCTGTGCTTTTCTCTGAAGAAGGTCCAAATTCCTGGTAAACAACCAGACCACTCTCCCAGCCTAGGGCCCAGAGCCAAGACCCGGGGTGGGGGCACACAGTGGCTGGACTGAAGCTTTTAATGGTATCCTGGCTGGCCGGGATGGTTAATGCCATTAGACTAGTTTCTGGGTAATGAGGTGGGAAGGGCTGCTGGCAGCAGTGATAAGCAGAGAGCGCTCAATTACAGGTCTCTGCATGGCCGGGTTGGAGCAGACTGTCTTTTAAACAACTATCTTCCAATTCACCCATTCAATCATGTATTCATTCAACAAACCTTAGCAATGCTCTGTAACAGGCTGTATTTTTCAAGGTCTGTCCCTGTGCATTCATGAGCTGCCATTTTGGTGAAGGGGCAGCCCAGGACTTTGGCAGCTAGACCTCAGCTTTAGGCACTTGGGACTTTTCAGTTATCCTGGTTGATTTTAACACTCAGCTGTTTGACCTTGGCAAATATTCTTTATCCCTCTGAGCCACCATTTCCTTATCTCCAGTAGGGATCCCAGTAGGAGTACTTAAAGGGTTGCAGTTTTTGTTTTGCTTTTGTTTTTAATAAATACAACATCAGCAATTTAATTTCAGTCAAAAAACAAATTAGCAATATCAACTGATGTTTATATCAATTTAAATGGTTTTGGTTGGCAATTTTTTTGGCTTCTTATTTCTATAAAAGCTTATAAGCATGAGGAATGTATGCTCATTTTGATCTCCACGTATATTTACATTAGATAACAGTAAAAATATTTAAAACAATCAGGGTTGTTTGAAGACTGGAAATAATTACAACACTTAACATAGTGCCTGATACAGGATGAACACTCAATAAATGGCAGCTATTACTATTATTACTTCTGGGAGGGGATCTGTGGGTACTATGTATTCTGCTCCCTGCCCTGGAACAGTGGTGAGTGATGGTGCTGGCTCTGCCTCCAATTGTGGGCTGAATTCTGGGTGGGGCTGCTTCTGGGAGACTCGCTATTCAAGCTCTGAACTCCAGGATGGAAACCAGAGCTCTGGGTCTGTAGCTCAGACTCTGAGGGACCTTGGACCAGGCATGGAATCAGAGACAGTCAGTGTCTTAGTCAAGGGTCTTCTGGCTGCAAGTAACAGAAACATTGGAATTACTTAGTAAAAAGGGAATGTCATGCAACTGAATCCCAGGAAGTTCAGCTGGGCCCTTGCCGGGGATAGGACTGGAAAGTCAGGAACCAGTCTTGAGCCCTGTCTGTTGAAGACCAAGACATCCTGGGCCATCTACTTCATTCTTTCTGTAGACCTACTTCCTTTGCATGACCTTCCAGGGCCAGCATTTTCAACTAAATGACCTCCCATCCCAATTCCAAATTCATGGAAAATCTGATTGTCTGTGCACAGGTTCTAGATTGGCTTTCCTGGGTTAAGGGTCCATCCCAGGCTTATCAGCTGGGTAAAAGAAACATAGATCCACATGCTACTAAAGTAATTACAGGGCCTCAGGCCTGTTAGTGGAGGGCAGTTCTCAGAGAAGGCAGTGTATCTCAGCAGGACTCCAAGAGCATAGACTCTTGGCAGGGAATTAAGGTAGATCTTAATCAACCAAGGTCCAGCTTTGCTTCTTTTGTGGCTTCCTTCCTGGTCTAAGAGTGTCTTCTCTGAGCTTCCTTCTTGGATGCCCTCAGGGATAGGATTGTAGGAACATAGGCCCTGTTGTGGCTCCTTTGGGTCTGAGAACCATCCTGAGAGCTAGATGGAGGTTCTTTATGACTGCAGAAGGAGGCTTTGCTGCTGTGGGGCTTGCTAGATTTCTGGTCCCAACAGTTGAAGAGTAAGGCAAAGTGAAGGGGATCAGAATATGCCACTCCAAAATATGCCACTTTTGCATAAGGATTATTTTTACCTGAAGGCAATTAAGAACCAACAGGAAGAGTTCTATGCCCTCGCCTTACGTGCCTGAAGGGGCATAAATGGAGATGAGGAGTCAACACCAAAATAAGTTTGCATAGACAGACCTTGCTAAAATAGCCCTTATCGTCCATTAGTTTCCCCCATATATTTCCTAGTCACTTCTGCACAATTTATTGTTCCTTGGGGCCCAAACCCTCTATCCTTTGTTAAAAGGGTATATAAGGCCCCTAGTCTAACCCCAAGTCCTATATGAGTTTCACTTCTTTTCTGTAAACTCGCATGCAGGTAAATATTAATAAAAATTGTGCCTTATCTCCTGTTAATATGTTTTTTGTTAGCTTAATTCACAGGCCTCCAGTTACTGACCCTAAGAGGGTAGAAGAAAAGGTTTGTTCTCCCCAACAAAAGCACAGCCACTTCCTTGGCTGATAACCCTCCATCTTTGCCTCTATAGCCCCTCTTACCAACAGTCATAGGCTCTCACTCTCATTTCCTCTCATGGAATCTTGGGTTCTCAGAAATTCCAGTCTCTTTTCAGCATCTTTGCTTCTCTCAGGAGGATGCCTATTCACATGGGAGACTTGGTCCAATAAAATTCCACCCTCAGGTGCTGAGCTGGTCAGGGCTTATCTGACATACTGTGAGAGTTGTGGGGGTGAAGGAGACAATAATAATAACTAACATTTATTAAGAGTTTAATGTGTGCCAAGCACCAGGCTAATGGCTTAAAGAGCATTGTCTCATTTACTTTTCAGAAGTATCCTCTTTTATTTTCCTTGTTTTACAAGGGGATATAGCAAAGCTAAGCAGCTTGTCCAAGGTTACAGGGCTAACAAGTGGCTGATCTAGGAATCAAACCTCAACCTCCCTGACTCCCAGGAGCAATCTTTGATCCACGTCACGTCTGTCCAGTGTTGGGGTGAGACGCCACTGCCTAAATTTCAGCAGAGGCCGTGATGAGGAGCATGGGGTCAGAGAGCTCTTTTAAGCTACAAGCATGACTTCCTAGAAGAGAAGGTATTTGTTTTTTTTTTTTCTTTTGCAGTATGTGGGCCTCTCACTGTTGTGGCCTCTCCCGTTGTTGCGGAGCACAGGCTCCGGACGCACAGGCTCAGCGGCCATGGCTCATGGGCCTAGCTGCTCTGCAGCATGTGGGATCTTCCCGGACCAGGGCACGAACCCGTGTCCCCTGCATCGGCAGGCGGACTCTCAACCACTGCGCCACCAGGGAAGCCCCAAAGAGAAGGTATTTGGACTGGACCTGGCATGAGTAGGGTTTATCAGGCAGAAATTTGGGGAAGGGCACCCCAAAAATCAGAATGGGCAAATGCAGACTAGAAAGGGCGGGAGTGCTGGGAGGATGACAAGTAGTCTGCTGTGACTGAAGTTCTTTGAGGGGAGGTGTTGTCAGGTCTTCCTGTCACTCAACTCCCTACCACACTGTCCAGGGGGAGAGTTCTCCTCTGGAGACACACCCAACTGCAGAGCTACTGTTGTGAAAGCCAGGCCCTGTGGATCAGGCA